GGCGCTCTCGGGCGTGCTTATTCTGGCCGCGACGAACCGGCCCGAGGCCATGGACCCGGCTCTCCTCCGGCCCGGCCGCTTCGACCGGATCGTGTACGTTGGTCCGCCGGACGCCGCGGGCCGGGAGGCCGTGTTCAACTTGTATCTGCGCAAGCTCCCCCTCGCGGCGGACGTGGATGTTGCAGAGCTGTCGAGGCTGGCGGAAGGTTTCTCGGGTGCCGAGATTAAGCAGATTGTCAACGTGGCGACGGAGCCGGCGTTGAGCAAGACGCTGAGCAGGACGCATATTGGGGCCACAGAGGAAGGTAGTGGCGGCGGCGGCGTTAGATTGGACGGGGAGGCGGAGCAGGTCACGGTCTGCATGGAGGATATTGTGGACGCTATCAAGTCTGTCCCCAAGGGTATCACGCACCAGATGCTGGATGGCTACGAGAGGTGGTCGAAGCAGTTTATGAAGCATCAGAACCAGAAATAGAGAGTCACGGTTGCTCACAATTTGCGAACTGGGATCACTTCGATTAGCCCTCCTAATGAGTCTGCCGGATGACACTCGACACACAGGTTACTAGTATGTTGTCTCTCGGTAATTCCAACATCAGTGTGAGTGTTCTTTGCGGCTATACCGAGAGAATGGGCGTATGCGGTTCAAAACCAGTTCCTGTCTTGTCACACTTGTCTGGAGCTAGAGAGTGTTCTAAAGATGCTTCATCGACTGATAGGTTCTACAAACCTGCAAAGCTAGGTGACCCGGATCCATCGTCTCGGACCCGAACTGCTTGAAATGCTTTTCAACGGATCAATCTGATTCGCGGCTATGTTTTCACAGAAAATCGCGCCGAGGTTCTCAGTTCGGACCCGAGTTTCCCCTCTGCATTAACCATTGAGTTGTCTCAACATTGCGGTTCCGCAGACTGAACCAGCTGAGTGGTTTACTCACACTGCACCTGTGAGGTTTGCTGAGTTCCGTTTGCAAGACGGAACGCATCTGGTATTATACATTGTACATGCAGCCGCCCGAGGCTGAGCCAGCCGTGATATCAGACCATGCTTCATCTGTATTGGCGAGGCATGAAGCCAGGTATTCTCGCAAGACTCGAACGTGAAAGGCTTTCACATGCTACGATATACTCGCCCAATTGAGAGCAGTGAGACTGAAACTTTTTGGAAGGGTTGGTGGTGCAACTTCTTGAACAGGTGTGTCAGAGCCGTGATTGGCTACCGACAGATTGCATTGAGATGGGGCGACGCAGCGCCCCCTTTTTCCGCGTTAGTCTCTGGAACCCACGCACGGCGGAGTATCAATGGATCATGTCGACCAACATCTGGTGACGGCTACTCTGAGTTCTAAGGTCTTGGAGATGATGGTGTACCATTTAGGTAGAGCAATATCAGGGCGCATCAGCTCACTCACCCCCAAATTGCCAACCCTCCCTACTCGGCCCGGCTGAAGTTGACGAAGGCTTGAAGATGCGAGGTACCTTCGTAGATCTGGGGTCCTGTCAGTGTCACAGAAGCACAGAGCAACAGAAGCGAGCAATAGTCAGGAACAGCTTAACCAAAGGCACAGAGGGTGGAGTCTGAAAGTGCCTGATGTTTGGGCCGAGCAGAAATCTATTACGCATGACCGTGGTTCGACACGTGAAATGGGCGGTGTGTGGGCACTAATTGGAGCGTGGCAATTGGCTCGATTGCAACGGCGTGAGCCGCCATGGAACGACTTGTCGTTGAGATCGCCTTCTGTAATTTTTCTGGATCCTCCGCAACCTTCGCTTTTTGTCTTGATGTCCCAGGGGTTTGTCGTCTGTCTTTGTGCCTCTGAACAGAGGATTCTTGGGTGACCCGACTACCTAGTTAAGAGATTGAGCGCAATGACACCTTGATGTACCTTCTCATGTACCGTAGCTTAATGAGCTCTATACTAGAAATTACCAGACTTATTCCTGCAATGACAAAAGTCAGCGAGGAAACAAAACCAACGCGGAAAGAAACATTTTACTCACCCCCTGGCAAAAGGCTATAGTGCAGGGGCCCCAGCTAAAAGTGAGTCGTCCACTCATCACGCTTCTTTTCCTTCTTTGGATTTCATCTGCCACCATATGGTTCGAGGCGGGACGTGAACGACAAGACTAACCACCTCCCACCCTTCAACCTCTTCCAATCTCGCCTGGTCTTTCATAAAACCCGATAGCGGCAACCAGTCTCACTTTCTCTTTCCCCTCCCCTCCCGTTCTTCCCATCATCCAAAGCCAAACGCTTCCCCCAACGTTCCCAAGCGCAACTCCCAACGACCGAATCCGAGGCTCCTCTCAAAGGTGACATTCAACATCCCTTTTTGCTGCCTTTCCTACCAAAGCGTCCTTTCGCACAGGCCCATCACGACAATCGGCAACACCACGATCTCCCCCGCCACCATACGCTTCAACAGCAACTCAAGCCCAGCCAGATAGACTACCCCCTGAGAGTCGAATTGAAATGATCGAAAGTCCAACAGCAGCGGCCGACGCCCGCGCCGAGCGCCGCACCAAGTACCACGAGGCCGATGTAGTTGTCGTCGGCGCCGGCGTTTTTGGGTGCGCCATTGCATATGCACTGGGCCAGCAGGGAAGAAGTGTACTCCTACTCGAGAGATGGATGAAGGAGCCCGATCGCATTGTCGGCGAGCTGCTGCAGCCCGGCGGCATCGTCGCCCTGCGTCAGCTGGGCCTGGCCGACTGCCTCGAGGGCATTGACGCAATTCCCTGCTACGGCTACAAAGTCAGCTTTCACGGAGACGGAATCGACATCCCCTACCCTTCCTTTGACGAGAGCGGTCGCATGATCCATGCCTCGGAGAGCGAGGCCATATCCGCAAGCGCGAAGCAGAAGGAGGGCAGATGCTTCCACCACGGTCGCTTCATCAACAACCTGCGCAAGGCATGCATGAGACAGGAGAACATTACCGTTGTCGAGACCGAGGTGACAGCCACGATACAAGGCGACGATAAGGATACAGTGCTTGGTGTAAGGTCCAAGACGACAGACGCCACGGGCCAGAAGAAGGACGACTACTTCTTTGGCCAGCTGACCATCATTGCCGACGGTTATGCGTCCAAGTTCCGTAAGGAGTATCTGCCGCAAGAACCCGTCGTCAAGTCAAAGTTCTACGCCCTCGAGCTCATCGACGCCCCCATGCTCTCTCCCGGCTACGGCCACGTCTGCATCGGCAATGCCTTTCCCGTCCTTCTGTACCAGATCGGCACCCACGAGACCCGCGCGCTCATCGACGTGCCCGCCAACATCCCCGAGGCGTCGCCCGCTGCTGGTGGTGTTCGTGGCTACATTAAGAACGTTGTCATGCCCACATTGCCTCCCCAGATGCGGCCATGCTTTGAGGCTGCTCTCGCCGACGGCAAGATCCCCCGATCAATGCCCAACTCCTATCTACCTCCATCCCGCCAGACGGCGAATGGCATGCTCCTCCTCGGAGACGCCCTCAACATGCGTCACCCCCTCACTGGTGGCGGCATGACCGTCGCCTTCAACGACTGCGTCATTCTCTCCGACCTGCTCCATCCCTCGCGCGTAAGCGACCTTGCCGACCCCGTGGCTTTGAAGGGAGTCCTGCGCGAGTTCCACTGGCGCCGTAAGAGCCTCACATCCATCATCAACGTGTTGGCCATGGCACTGTACGCACTGTTCGCCGCAAACGACCGCCAGCTGCGCGCTCTGCAGATGGGATGCTTCTCCTACTTCCAGCGCGGTCACGCCTCCGAGCCCATGGCCCTCATGGGCGGCCTCATGCACCAGCCTGGCAAGCTCGCGTACCACTTCTTCAGCGTCGCCTTCCTAGCCATCTGGCTCAACGCTCTCAACCTCATGAGCGGTAGCGTTTTCGGTTTCTTGAAGGCGCCGCTGGCGCTCATTGACGGCATCCTCATTCTCTGGAGAGCGAGTGTCGTGTTCTTGCCCGTCATGTGGCGTGAGCTGAACTGAGTAGACGCCTATACATGAAGATAAGATCATCATCAGAGTTATTAGACATGAGCAAAGAGAACGTTGGCAGAATGAGTGATGAGCCAACGAAAAGGAAAAAACAAAAAGGGGGTAAATTTCCCCTCCCCACTCGCCCTGAGGTCTTCTGTCAGGAGTACCTCCCCCGGGGCTGTATATATACTCAGTTACGATAAACCATATTTGGGATGGAAGCGGATCATTGGATCACACGAGTGTAGATACAGGTGTATCAGACCATATCATAATTTTAATCATCAAGTTCAAATACGTTCCGCCTTCTGTTGCACTCGTCCATTATGTACAGCAAGCAATCGCATTGTTGACAAACATCCTTTGGTCAGTCTGTAATATAAGTCTGGCTGCGATAATCGATGTCATTGTGCTCCTCAATGGTCTCCAGTCAGGCTGCTCCGTTTGCCATCTACTGCATAAGGGATAGTTGCGAGGCATGGGCTGCTAGTATGTGTGAATGTCCTTTGTTCAGCTAGGCTTTTGCTCGTCCTTGGTCGTCTGTCGTCTTTTGCTGTATATACGTTCGTCTTCGAATACGATGTGAGAAATGTAAAATGTATCAGGTGCTAGTCGGTACGTATACGATCGTTGCAGGATGGGACACTGTTGCCAACGTGGCGGGCGACGTTCCGATCTTATTGTGAATGAGAGAGGACCGGAGCGATGGGCGTGCGGCGAAGGGGAGGAGAAGTTCTCGCTTTGAAAGGGCCCCAGACGGGGAAAGGTGATGCGGACAGAGCTCGTTGCGGCCGTGATATAGGTAGCTAGCCAAGAGGCCAGGCCAAGAACATCATCCGGGCAAAAAGTAGAGGGATTTCCTGGCAAAACTGCGTAACGTACGGATACGGCTGTACGAGTTCCCCTCCATACTTCAGCTAGATAGAGTATCTTACCGTCCCGGTAGTTTTTGATGATCGTATGTTATATGTACCTCATTCCTTCCTAAGGCTTTCCTCCTACTAAGCATGTAACGTATAGGAATGACCGATAGTCTTCTAGACACGGCGGCCCTGGGTGTCATGGAGAAGGCCAAAGTCTCCCTTCTTGATGTCCGTAAGCTCGTGGGCTTTTCTCCGGATCTCCCAAGACCCTTATCAGGTATAGCATCAGTAAAGGGTTTACCACGAGTCGGCACGCAGCAATGGGCGTATGAAGTGGGTTGAAATTGAGCTTGAATCAAACCATGTAGACGAAGAAAGAGCGCCATTCTATATACCGAACGAGTGTAAGGTCGACGCGAAATAGTACATGACAAAGTGCCTCACGAGTACTGATACCATTCTCGTTCCGTGGCAGGATATGAGGTTCGCTGTAACATTACAACAACGGTATCTAAAGCACGAGTATTCTAGAACACGCCATCCTCGTAATTGACATGCTAGGCCCAGACGTTATTAACCCAGTGACATGTGGAGCAGTTCTTGTGAATAATGAGATGGAGGAAGATTTGATCAGGTACTTGCTGGAATATGTTTATTACTTATTATTGATTAATTCGTGTACGCTCGTCCCTGAGTATGGTACGGGAATAGGGCGACGTCTAGTAGCCGTGTTCGTATAGAAGTGTTTGCAGTCTATCTGGCTTGGAGAACCTTCATCGTATCTTCGACTGTGCCTCGAGTAAAGAAAGCCACGAACACGAGCAACGATTAAGAAAGGCAGTCAGTTAGAATAGTCATACCGCGAACGAGGATTCGCAGTGATGGTTATCGTGAGCTTGAGGCTATGGAGTGATAGCCTATTCACTTGGGAGAACGGGTCATCGTAGTTCGCTTTCAGTCTTTGGCCAACCACAAATCATTATTAGTAGAAGTCTTTGACAGAGAATGGCACCACGGACGACGATAAGTAACAATAGAACCCAGGGTTTAGTATTTTGAGAACTTTGTAGCATTACCACGGGGAATCTTGGCTCAACTACTTCCCAAATAAAGGTGGTTAGGGCACATTCTCCTGCTTCTGTCAAACATCTCACGTGTGCATGACCAAGAACCAAGGCTCATGTATGGACCTCCATTGACCTAGCTAGGTTGTCTACCTGACGATGTGATGAAGTGTGGGCAAATCATCCTTGAGCTTTCTATATGCGCAGACTCCAAAGTCTGCATCACAACTTTTTTACCAGCACTTTTGACCCCAATCTAGAATAAGGGGGAACCCTGAAAGCCCTTCGGTCTCCTCCGGACAAGATGATCAAGAGGGCTGAGAATAAAACACAAAAGAAGCGAAACCCCACACAAACATTGCATCACGTCAATCTTCGACGGTAGACACCCATCATCCAGCTACCCCTGAGAATCGCCAGACCGAGGGCCATCTTGATGCTGTCCGAGATGACGCTGAGCTTGCTTCCTGGGACCTCGTGCCAGTCGACGGGCACCTCAGCTACGCGGATTCCGGGACTGGTGCCAATAACACTGCCGTCTTCTCCGAGAACGGGCGCTGGCGGGGCTGATTCGGCCAGCAGGAGCATTTCAATGTCGAAAATCCAGCCCTCGGCATGCATGTACGGGACAATGTGTGGAAGGGCGGCGCGGGTGAAGAGCTTGAAGCCGCACTGGGTGTCGCGGAGGCGGGATGTGGCGGGCGGTGTGAGAATCATAAGCACGAGGTGGAAGGATCGCATGAGGAAGTTACGCAGGGCAGATCGCTTGGTCATGTTAGCATCTTGATCTGGGATTGAGGGGCCTTGCGAGAGGAACATACCTTTACAACAGCCTCGCTGCCTACAAGGTGGGCGCGGCTGCCAATAGCAACACCGCGATGCGAGCCGTCAACAACCTCCTCGCAACCCTGAATCAGACGTCCCAGGTCGCTGAACTTTGTAGCACCGTCGGCGTCGGCAAAGAGCACATACTCGCCACGAGCGTGGCGGAAGCCATGAGTGACGGCGCCACCCTTTCCGCGGTTGCGCTCGAGCTTGATGACGCGTATGACATCGTGGAGCCCCTTCTTCTGCGCAAAGTCGAGGCAGACCTCGACGGTGTTGTCCCTGGATCCGTCGTCCACAATCAGGATTTCATAGCCGGTGAGGGCCTCGGAGGGCGGGTTCTTGTAGCGTCGGCGCGGGGTTGTAGGGCTGAGGAGGGGCTTGGTCGGGGAGGAGGGGCGGCCAAAGTTCTCGTCGAGGTATTCAACTGCTTCCTCGAGGGTTGGAAGAATGCGGGTGGCTTCATTGTAGGCGGGAAGCACGACGGTTAGGCGCACGTCCGCAGGGTCGATTGTCGCACCAGAGTCGGGGACATCGCGAGGATCGGTCAAGTGTGCGCGCGCCTCAGAGACGCTGCGCTCGGCGAACCAGCGGTCAAACCAGGAAGGGGCTGTGACCTGGACTGGCTTTCCGGAGGCAGAGGAGGTGAGGTAGACTTTCTCGGAGGGGAGTACGGCGCGGGGCTTGGGAGCGACGAGGTGGAGGGTGATGAAGATCTGTCGAAGGTAAACTGTCAGCTTCAATTGGGTTCAAATGGAGATATTTGGTTGGAAAGTCGAGCTGTCCATATTGATGGGGGAGCTAGCTTACAGTAAGAAGACCAGCAGCGGCAAGACTAAGCAGCGCGACGCCAAGGGCCGGCCACGAAGCCTGGGTTATCTGATCCATTGTGTAGTTGCGATGTTGACCATGAGCGCTGACTGGTGTCGGAATCGCCTTTGGTCAGTGCCGGCGAGGGAGAGAGTGAATATTGTGAGAATTACAATGAGAAGGAAAGAGGTATCTGTTGCACCCACAACAAAAGAACGAGAAAGAAAATTGCTGCAACTGCCGCAGCTGCAGCTTGAATTCAATGACAATGAGACGAACGCATCGACTGAATTGATGGGTATGTAACATCGGCACCACCGTTTATGGGGTTCTGGGATACGTAATGCGGAACGCGGCAGCTCGCGGGAGCCCCCCTTTTGTGGCTTAACGAGGCTGGCCAATTGGGTTGGACCCCTGGGGACACCTTCCAATGGCAAGAGCCAATTGGCATGGAGGGGTAGGTACCTGTCTTTCCTTAGCGTACCTCTCTACTATGTAGGTGCCTTCTGCAGGCAGGTAGGTCCCCTGAGGGGATGCCCTTGCCCACTATTTTCGGCTTGTGGGGGATAAGGTACACTGTAGCCTCGCATTAGCACCTTCCATTGTAAGTCCAGATGGGCCTGGGCAGCATGTTCGATGCAAATGTGCCTTTGGCATGAATCGCATTCTTCACCTACAGATACCTATTTTTGGGAGCAATATCGTATCTGTTCGGCACCAGCCGAGAGAGTCTTCTCTTGCATTTTATCAGCGTAACCCTACCTATTCGGACTCTTCTGCACATGACTGGCAGCCGAAGCCTCTTCAACGTATTCTCCGAGTCGCTCGACAACATCTCTTCTCTTGACGGATATCCTCACTGAAGTATTGTGTGTAGGGGCAATGGAGAATGGCAACGACGCGCTTCGAGCCGAGCCACAGTCAACGAACATGCTGCGTCAGTTTCCGACCCAAGACATCGCAATGCTGTACCATGAACAGACCCATTGCGGTCCGCGCCAACCCACATTCCAGGACCACAGCTTAACCCTTACCCCACGCTGCGATGAAAGAAAGCCTCAAATCGCCATACCTCTGCGGATGCCATCTCGTATATACCAAATGACGACAGTCGCTCTTAATCTTTTTCCCAATTTCTCTACTCAGGCCACATACGAGATCATAGAAGTCAAGCGTGTTGTCATCAGCGGCACCTGAGCCGCTCGCTGCAAGCCGCCATTACCGGTAAATGCCATGCGTCCCCAAAGCCACGCGACGCCTCATACGCTCGGTCCTGGGAGTGATGTGAAGAGGTGTATCTGGTACCTTTATCCCATCTTACACCGTCGTCACCTCCCGTGCCGTCCAGACAAGACCATAAATGTGGCCAGCCATCAATGGGTCGAATGCTATCCAATGACTACATCTGACAAGCCTCCAAGCGAGCGCCAAAGGACTATCGCCAACTTTAAAATTGAGGAACTCTGGAACCCCAGTCTCGCGAGGAGCGCACGATCAACCAGGGGTCATCCAGAGCCGCCCAGACGGTTCCTTTAAGCCACGGCATACCAGAGCTGAGCGCAAGTCGGTCTTCCTGTGGAAATTGCTAACCAAGCCTTTCCCGTGATCTTCCCCGGCGCCTCTCGAGTTCAGGTCTATCCAGATTCGGTCAAATGCTTGATATAGTTAGTTGTAAGCGAGGAGAGAAGAGAGAAGCACATCTGTTCCAACACTCACTCGGTCCCCGAACGCTCCGCCTGAATTTTCCCCTCCTCGATGCAAGTCAGACAGGTAGCCAAGACTGCCAACGTGAGCTGGGCCGGGCTATACCAAACGAAACGTCCGAGAACCTGCATGCAACCCATCCCAACGGAGCCAATAGACCGGGCTGCATTTGCCCAGCATTACTATCGCTCTGGGCGCTGAGGAACGCCTAATCAATGGAAAGGGGATACAGGATTGAAGCCACCGAGGCAGGGCAAAAGCGTCTGAGTTGCACCGCATATGCCATGCGGCGCACAATCCTCCGCCACCAGTCAATATTCCATCGAACCCTGCATAGCTTTGTTCGGCCGAAGACTGGCTGACAGACAGGTTGACTCAGCCCGATTATGGCCGCTGCCGCTGCCCATGTCAAAACATAGCAATTGCAATACTGGCTTGGACGATAGTATGAGCCTGCAGCTTCGAGGAAACAGAGCATCAGACGAGCATATCGGCATCGTGCATTTCCGTGTCTTTAAAGGACCTCATCCTTGGTTCCCAGTGACGAGTTGGCTTGTCGTCGACCCTGAGACAACAAGAATCCACCTATTCAAGCATCATCTTGCTCAGCCTGCTTCGCCAAACCTGACCCATCACATCTGCGGAGAGGAGCCTACCCTCAAGGCTCGAGCTACCTCTGGCGCATATGCAAGGACCCGATAACGCGTGTGTTGGCGTTGCCATCAGTCTCCACCGCTGTTGTCCAAATCCACGCGAGTGGGGGTTGAGGAGGGGATCGCCCGTTGTATCGACAACTTAAGCAAGACGGCTGGACGCGTCAAACTCGTCTTCGTTATCTACGCTAGACCCATACTCCAAAAGCTCTTCGCTCCTGACGATCCCTGGGCATTGCCTGCCGGCCACGTTCATGTGCGAAACCTCGCGTGGACCCTGACGATCTCTTTCCCTTTTACACGAGACTATTCCGGACAGTGGTATCCGTACATCTTTGACAATCGGCGTGCCCGTGGTACTGGGTCCTGGCCGCTCGGATCAAGCAGTCCGCTCCGGACGGAAAGCGACACCTTTGGCTATTTCTTGCCGTTTGCATTGGCCGAATCGTCAATAGCACCGACGATCGCAATTCGCACACGGCATCGTGATCTAGATTGGCAAAGCTTCCCAAGTTCCAGCTGCTCGTTTGCTGTGCTAACCTTACCATCTAGGGAAACACACTAAAGACACTAAACCTTGCCTCTTCTAGTCCGGTCCCGACGGACGACGGCTTTTGGTTTTAGCTTTATCAAGCTATCAGCCGGGAACAGAAGAGAGTGGGATGGCTAACCTGACGCCACACGAATCAAGGTTTTTCAAAAGCCTGGCGACCGATGGGGAAGAATGTCCATCAAGTCCTCCTGAAGGTCAAGCCTTACTAGGCTGGCTGGTGGACAAGTTAGCAAGCGTAGAAAGTCGGGTCTCTGAGCCTTGTGTCTCTCCTTCTCTTTGCCGTGCCGTGCCCCCGAGACATTCAAATTGTCTCATTCACAGAGGTAGAATTTCCACCTTCCCAGGCACGCACAGCATGCTCAGAGTGCCAATGTCTCGCCCACACGCTGACCATGATGTAAGACTCGCTGTAATGTTGTACTGGGAACGTCACTTGAACTACAAGGGGGCGAGGAAAAGAAAAAATATGAGCTTATTTTTGTCTCCATCTGTTTCTTTTTTCCTCCCGTCTGATCGATGATCGAAGGTCTCTCAACGAGACCTTCCCCACGTGAATGCGGATCTTTGTCTCGAGTCGAAATGAAGCTCGACATCAATTCATGCAAAGTGCAAGAAAAAAAAAAGGTAGACATATTGAGACTTTGTAGATGTAGGCTTCGATATTTCATTTCGCTGGTCGCTATTCTGCCAACATTGTAGTAATGGTAGTAATATGAGAGGTAAGGAAAGTGTCTATGTTATCGGTATAAGTTGTGGTCATGATATGGTCATCAAATAAATAAGAAAACAATTGGACCCGTCCCGGATCCGACCCTGAAGATGTTCAAGTCCCTGTTAAGTATCCAGTGTTGCTGAAGTCCAGCGGCAGCAACTCTGAAAGATGCCCCCTGTCGATTTTTTTCGATCCCAAAGTGTTGCATGATTAAAAGCCAAGAGACCCCGAGTCTCATGGCGTCATTGTAGTAAGACATTATCCTCAGACGCCCGCGCAAGTTTTAGAAAGAGGCTATAGTTTGGCACCCGAATCCATGAGCAAATGTTGACGTAGGAAGGGTGTGTTTGTATGGTGTAAATGGTGGCGTCTTAGTACCGTTTAAACGGCAACGGCGGATGAGCTCTTTGTTGACCAACGGCTCTTCTTAGTCAGCTTGGAGCCGGCTTGCTTCGAAAGGCGCTTTCCGGCCTTGTTGCTAGAAACGACTTCAGACGGCGCGGCGCTGACCATTTCGACGGCGACGGCGTTGTTGATGACATGCGGCGGTGTGGTGTCGCGGCGAGTGTTCTCGTAGGGGATGCCGGCTACGCTGACTGCCTTCTCCGTGTGAGAGTCGATGGTCTCCAACTCGGTGAAACGCGTGACCTTGGACTTGGAGGTGCTGCGACGGTCCTTCTGTTTCAAGGCAGACGGCGCAGCTGCAACGGGTTGCGGGGCGTAGGTGTAGGAACCGCCTTCTTCCTCTTCTTCGACGGACTCATACACTGGCTCGGGCGTTACACAAGCTGCTGGTGTAGTAGCAGCCGACGATCGTCCGGACATGGGCGCCGAGAAGGGGGCGCCGGTGTTGATATTGAAGTTGAATGAAGAGAATCCCGAGGAAGAGCGGACGCTAGCAGTCGAGGCGGCTGACGAGGCAACCATGTTTTGCTGGGTTGCCGGCGAGTTGTTGAACTGCATCGGGGGAAGAGACGTCATTGCCGGGATTGCACTGAATCCACGCATCGACGGCGGCGGCTTGCTTCGGTCTGTAGAAGGCGAAGAGTGCTCGGCTTTCGGGGAGCCATCGGCACGCTCCGATGCATCCGATGCCCGGCGAGAACTCGGGTGAAGACGGTGGGTGTGAACAGCAGCGGCCGGGTTTCGAGGTGCCTGTGAGGCAGCAGGTGGCATGGAAACATGACGAGCGGGCTTCATCTCCAGGTCCTCCTGTGAGCTGGTCGAGCGGCTTGAGCTACCCGTGGGAGATTCGGCTGCTAGGTATTAGTCTCTGGCTCTCTTCCGAACTGGCAAGATCATGTAGTGTGACCTACCTTTGATGGATGACGGACTGTTGCGCCCCGAAGCATACGACCTATCAACCTCTTTGCCCTTGAGTGAACCCTTGAGTGAGATGCGGCTGCCGTCGGGGACTCCGTAGATGGAGCTGGTATTGCGTTCCTGCCAGTAAGGCATCGGGGGCGGACCGCCGCTGTAGCTGTATGCCCTAGGCATAGTGCCCATCGGGCTGGCGTGAGCGGAAGGATAGGTGACGTGCGAGAGACTGCTTGAGACGCGAGGCAGACTTGGGCCGGGCATTCTGCTCAAGCCGCTGGCGGCCATCGCACTTCGCCGTCGGTTCTGTTCCATAATCCTGGGTCGGTCCTCATGCTTAAATGCTGATGGTGCTCCTGCAAGCGCGTCGATGGCGGCATGAGTAGGGATGTGCTTGTACGGCTGTTTCGGTGCCTCTGCGGCCTTCTCTGCCTGCTTTTGCTTGTGCTCCTTGGCCTGTTGTCTAGACTTCTTGAAAAGCGAAAAGACAGCCATCTTGGTCTTTTCTTTGGTACCGTTGGGCCCACGAGGATAATGTTGTTTAGTAGAGACGGTGCGAGCCGTCAATAATGAACCACACTTAGACTAGTAAACCAACAGTATCTCTGTTGGAAGAGAAGAGACGGTAACCGCTACGGCTCCTTGTGGTGGGAGATGAAAAGATAATAAAGGCAACGACCGGGGTACTGTTGTTCTATGACTGGCAGGATTTCGTATAAGTCGAGCCCGGACAGCTGGTTTGGGCTATACTCAGGCCGCACAGGTGAAACTCGGCCGGTACCACAGACCAAATCCCAGCTCGGATGACTCTCTGACTTGGCGATATGGGAAAGGTGTCGGCTTGGCGAAAAGTCGTCCGTTCACTTTCACTAGTAGCGGTCGTTATGGGAGATGGCTCGTGCCTCTCTGGCAGGTGGACGGATGGATGTTGGGAGGTTGAAGCGAGAGTTGGACGAGTATTGTACCACAGGTAGGGCAGGTTGGGGAGGGATATAAGCAAATAACTATCAAGCAGCCTTAGGTAATGCTTGCCCGGAAAAGCGGATTGCAAAAGCCAAAGTAATATGGATAGATGAGCGAGAGTTGGGAGGAACACCAGGCAGCTCAGAAGGGAAGCTGGGTTCGGTCGGGAGCCCAGGTTCCTTTAAGGCGTGGCGGTGGTGTGTGTCTTGGGGTTGGACATGGGATATGCATGGGGGTGGTGGCAGAAGGAGATGGGATGGGTGCATGGACGACGTGGATTGGGACAATTCCCAAGCGGGGGTCCCAGACAACGTGCAGCTCGCTCGTTTTCTCTGCAGCTTCTGGCTCCCGAGGGATCCAATGTGTGTCTTTTCTTGGCAACCAAGGCGAGTCCAGCCTTCAGGACGATCCCGACTAAGACGCTGGAAGATGGCACCGCCGTCAGTCCCGCTTCTTGGGTAGAAGAACCCGTACGATAGTGTCAATGGTGTCGCCGGGCTGCCGTCAGACTTCAGTACGTCTTCGTTCGTCCCGGTCCATCTGTCGATACCCCTGAGTCGCACGGTCAGGTCCAGGTCCAGAAGCTGACTGAGATAGCGTCCTTGGACGACTCGCGGCTTGGGATTCAAGAGAGGACGCGAATGCACCAACAAGAAGGTCACTAGCCTAAGCTTTTGACAGATTTGGAACCAACGCTCGGCACCGGCTTCTGAGGATGTGTAGGACTGGACCGGCATGGGATGGGACCTGTGACCATCGTCTCCGAACCATGGTGATAATCTACTCAGGCTGGTACTGGCCTCGCCTCGTTTCGTGTCATGACCAAAGTTGGGTTCAAGTTTCTTAATGCCTTTTCCCAGCGCCGCGCAGCAAATCACAGGTGCAGCGGCTCAGCAAGGACTGGTCGCCCGGTAAAGATTGGCGGCTGTCTATTCTGCTTGGCTTGATTGGGCCCGTAATACGTGTAGATTTGTGCAGTAGAGAGACGTTTGGCGTTCTGTGCCTTTTTTTTTTGGCTTGACCAAACGGCCCTCGTATTCGAGAGACAGGTAGCGGTACCTTGTTGCAGGGATGCGCCGGCTCCAGCACGAGCGTTGTGATCGTGGCAGTAAAAGAAAGTCTTTGGTTGGAATTCGATAGCGTCGGTGGGAGACAAGCCGCTAGACGACGCCCAGGTACCCAGTACCAGATCATCAGCACGGAAACTCGCGCGGACATTCCAGGGCCCCGATTGATGGCGCTGGTGTCGGCGTTGGCTTCACGTTTAGGTTGTTCCCCATGAGCGGAGGACCCAGCCCAGCCGCACTGGACAGGGGCACGTCGAGCTAAAGTTGCTGGTCCGCTTCAGGGGAATCAGGGCCCGGTGATGGATACTCAGTGAGGGTGGATGATGCCGATGATGAATTGGCGAATTGCTGATGGTGTGCCAATGTGCCCCTCCCCCCGTCCGTCCCGTAAGTCTCGCACTCCCACCACCAATACCGCTACCATGAGCGTGTGCCTGACCACCACCACGCATCGCCCTCGTCGTCGCCGCCGTCGACTAGGCTAGGTCAAGTAAGACCAGCGGTCGACTGTCTGACGTTGTGTCAACGGGTCTTTTGTTCTCAAAGCCGACCATGGCAACGAGCGGGGGAAGCAGAAAGCTACTGCAGCGTGGTCTATCTTTGGGCTTCCATCGTAGATGTCCTACACGCCACTCGGCATGTATTCCCATTACATCAACGACAATCCTCTTACTTGTTACACGAGGCCGAAACTTTGGCTGGACGTGACGATCTTGGTGTTGTTTTGCGTTCTCCGTTTTCTGCCTTCTTCTTCTTCGTCGTTGTCGTCATGCAATGTCGTCAGTCTTCTTCTGTACAATCAAGACTGCTGGCGTTCGAAAAAGGCAGTGAAGCAGTCAGCGACAGCGTCCCGGCGGCAACGAAGTGCTCCTTTGAAAAAGGTTCGGCCCCATGCCGAACCAAGGCCCACAGGTCTCACCCCAGGGCGGGCAGGTCGCAAACGAGACCATGGAGCGGCTGGATATCGCAAATTCCCCTTGGTCGACGGCGGTTTGCCATTTCCTGCTTTTTTGTGGGCATCGTAATTGTTGAAAGTGTTTTGGCGTGGCATGGAGTGTGAGCGTGGGAGGGTATCATGTATGTAAGATTATACCCCTGTCCGAAGCTTGCTTGTGCCGGTGGATAGCCAGCAGGGCTAGGCAGCTGGTATGAACATGGATTGCATTAAGATGTGAGACGGGTTGGCGGTACGGCCACACGGCGAAGAGACATATCGACGATTGTAAGTTGCCAACTTGCTGGGGGGTCGGATGGCGGGAACCATCTGCCGCCACGGACTGCCCTAAGGCAATGTCACAGCTGCTCGTACGTACCTCCGTACAGAGTACCAGTCAGGTAGGTAAGGTAAGGTAGGTACCTAAGGTAGGTAGGCCTGCTGGAGCAGGAAGGCATGAAGGCCAGGCGAACCGAATTTGACCTTGCGAAGGAAGGAATTATCGAATAGCAATCTTGCCTCCTTCCATGTGGTGCTCCTCGCGGGTACGTACTTACCGTATCCTCACTCAATGGAAGGTACCTTAAGGTAGGCAATGTAAGATAAGGTATTATGCATCATTGCGATTCATCCATCGTGCTTACCTTGCCTGTCTTATTGCAAGGTGCCTCATGTTGTGGAACATTCAGGTGTTCGACTCATCTTATCTTTTCATCATCTTGGATCCAGTCTTCATCCAACAAGTTCGGTCAAACGTACATCTGCATATGTACATCTCTGCTCCAACAATTGGTTCGTCTTCTTGCACTCAGAGTCAGTGTGTCTCTCAACTGCAGGGCATACCTCGCCAAAGCGGAACTGACAGCCGGACCATGCGAGGATTCCATGTCCCGTTTTCGACTGTGTACGGAGTATGTCGAGCTCAGTTCAGCCTGGTGAGCCGTGACAACCTATCAACGCGCCTCATATGCCGGCCGTCTTGACTATCAAGAACTAACCGCGGATGGTGCCTGGTTCCTGGTGCCAAGTAACCCGTCTCAAACTCACCTGGATTGTCGCTGTCATTCCCTCGGACACTTTCACAATCCTTGACGCAAGTACCAAGCCCAGCTCATCACAATCGACCAGGATGACTCAATAATTCCGAGCTCGCATGTTAAGCCCTTCATTTCACCTAATGGATTACAGATAACACCAGCCTTTCTTACCGCACAATCTGTATAAACGCCCAAACAAGCCTGCATTGCGTGCTCTCTCTGTCCCTCTTACTCGGCACCGGCACGCCACGCCACGTACATGCACACCGCAACATGGAAAGAGCAAGAAGAAGAAAAAATTCCCCGACCGTCGCCATCATCCTCGTTCGCGTTTCCGACGCACATGCTCTTGCATGATACCTAGTCCAACCCGGTTGCTTGGACCAAAAGCAGACGATACGGACAGACAGCACGCTGAGCCAAGGGTGTGCTCAACGTTCGGCCACCTGAAAGCAGCAGCAGTCAATGTCAAAGTACGTGCAGCGCGCCCGTTTGGGTCCATTCGTAGCTCGCTTTGGGAATATGGAGCTTTTCAGCTCACCTACCTATTTCCCTATCTTGAACACCCCCCCAGCAGCCTGGCCCTAGAAATATTGATTCTTCAGAGTTCTTAGCCTTGTCGAGGTGGGAAACACTGCCCTCCAAGCCTGGCTGGAAACATCCCGCGCTGAGCTTGGCTATCACCGCGAGATAGACTCGTCATGCAGGCTACTGTCGCATCACCGGGCGCCGGATTCAACCCTCTGGTTTACTCCGTACACTACGGAGTACCTCTTCCTTATCTTTGGGATCCCTGCTTCCACGGGGAGTAAGGGTAAAAAGCCACAGGACTCGTGTAAACTTGACTTCCGACGTCGAGAACATGTCCAGTCAAGTAGACTCTAGAAGTCTCTCGGCCTGGGCCTTCGAAGGGTGGCTTTTCAGCCTCACATACAAAGCAGTGTGATCATGAGGGCAGAATCTGTCCTACCAAGCATCCTCGTTACCCATGTGCAACCAAAATCTATAGACTTGTGTGGCTTGGTACCGACAAACTGGTCGGCGAAGGGATTGATACCTTCAGCCAGCCGCAGCCGCAACCAAGCTTGAAAAAGGCCTAGCTTAGCCGTCTTGGTAGAGTTTCGAAAATTGGTGAAGGGGGTTTGATGATCATTTGACGAGTCTAGCTTTGGAAAGCTCTACGGAGTACTATGGAGCTGCCGTGATAATGCCGGACGGGCGACCGAAACCCCCCCCCCCCCCCCCCACAACAACGATAAAAAGCCGCTCTTGTGAGCGTGGTTGGAGTTGTGAAAATTGTGGGGGGGGGTGTTGTGGTCTTTTGACGGGGTGCGGTTTGGAAAGTCCCCCAGGGGATTTTGGGGCGGCCGTGGTAATCCCCGACGGGGCCCCCACCCCCCCCCCCCCCCCCCCCCCCCCCAACTCGCACGCTGCCACGCACTCAGTTCGCAGTCAGCCGCGTCGAAGCCATCCAACCTTGGCCTAGCTATCATGTCTCTCTTCCAGGGTGCGTGGCACGACTGACCGTGGGATTGTGTATCTCTCAGAGGGTCTCAGTCGGCCACGGCTACGGGCCCACGGGGGGGCTATTTCAAGTTCGTGGCTGGACCGTCCCGATCAACGCATGGGTGGGTGGTGCCTATCAATATTCTGCGCCGTCCAATACGACCCTGCCATGGGATAATGTTCCGTTGCATTTCATGCCCCGGGGCCATTCCACACTCACCGAACCGTAATCATGTCAGGTAGCGAGTGTATGGGAAAGGCAAGTCGTATACCACTTTCATCGGCGATAACACGCGAGAAGTAAGGACACATCACATTCGAAAGAGATGAGGTCATTCACGTCAAAGTCAGACTCGCATGCCGCTGCCACGTTCGAATCGCTCTTGTCACACGTGCTTCCGCGACATTTGAACGGCCGTATCGAGTTGTAGAAACACGAGGTAATTTCGTCCAGTCTGACATGCATAGGTAGCAGACCGCCGTCTCCTACACCTATCAGTACGGCACAAGCACCTCCGGAAACCGACGTAGATAAGATGCTGAGTCGAAGCGCCTTTGAATCTCATCCCCTTTTCTTGCCTTCTTCATCCTCCTCGTCCTCGTCCTCGTCCTCCTCCTCCTCCAGGAAGGAAAAAAACTTGTTTGTCCTGCTTCATCAAGATTGTTGGGACTAAACAAGGCGCCGCGCTAGGTACCTGTTCCCATGTAAGTTGACAAGGACCCTGGTTTTTGGCGCGCACCCCCGAAAGGTGGAATTTTTCCGTTCGGCGAGCCTTTTCGCCAGTCAGATGGATGCCAGCAGACAGTTCCCGGCCCGCCCGGGTTGCGGTTCCCACCCCCCTGCTAGGGCATTCAATGATTGTTCCTAGGCTCCGACGCCGGTCGTTAAATAATGATTTCCAGGTTTCCGAGTTGGTTCAGGCTGCAGAGAACCCTGCTCCAGCCTCCGAGTTGTGACTGTGCACAAAGTACTGGATCTCGCTGTAAGAGAGGCCTTGTCGAGATTACCCTACGTGCACTGATGCAGTGGCAGGAGTGAGAACCGCAAAGAGATGCAAAGTGGAAGTGCTGCAACACAATACCAGCCGCTGCGATTGTCCCGTTTCCTCTCGATGCTGTCTAAATTCTTGGCGCAGGCCGATAGTTGTCTCAATTCCCACAACTTTCGCTATGCGAACCCTGACGATCAGGAG